AAAAATGAAAATTTATATATCTTTACGTTTCAGAGGTTTCTGAACATTTGGCATACCTTAGAATAAATGGATGTATATGTGTGTGTGTGTGGTGCGTAGTATGTATGTGTGTGCGGATACAAATTTTCGTCGACGATTTCGGGAACACGGATCAACCGATTTGAATAATTCAAAAAGCATTCGATTCGTATTGATAAGGAGACGTGCTGATTAGTTTTTGGCGAGGCAGGTCTAGCGTTCCGACGATACGGGGCAAAAAGTGCCGAAAACGGTAACTCATTTTTAAGAGAACGGAGCGTCCGATTTTAATAATTCAAAAAACATTTTACTTGTATGACAAGATGAAGAATTGATCAAATTTCATGAGGGCAGATCTAGCGGTTTCGGAGATCTAACAAAAAAAGTAAAAAAAAAATGCCATTTGCGGTCAAAAATGATCATTAGACATATGCACATCAAATTATCAGATATTTTATAGAGATTTTAACAATAAGTATAAATTTTGTTTACATTCCTTGGGTTCCGTACCAATGTTTATCCGTTAGACAGCGACGCGGCGCTTACGCGTTTATATTTTGTCTCTATGCAGTTAAAGCAGTACGATTGCTTTGAAAAAAAGTTTCAGATCTTCCAAAATATGTCAAATAAAGAAAACATTTTCTTTTTCAAAAAATTTTTTTTAGATTTTTTTTTTTTTTTAATTTTTTTTTTTCAAGAAAAAGTAATTCTTGTCCAATTTATAGTTTCTCAAAAATCTTATTTTTGCGAAGTAAAATTTTTTCAAATTTGTTTTTAAAAAAATAATAATTTTTGGTACGGGAAGTTCCAGCAATTTGCCTTAAGGCACGATGCCTTCATTGCCTTAAGACAGAATTCCACTTACAGCTAGTTTTTATAATTTTCTGACAATTTTTTTTGTTTTCATTTTTTTATGTGACATTAAAAAATACATACAACCCAAAAATTTCACTTTTTTATCATCAACCCATATTTTGTTATAGTCATTTTACCAATGAATATTTTTTAAATAATTTTAGTTCAGATTTTTGAGCTTAAAAAAAATCTAAAACTTTACTTTAATTTTTTTTTTTTTTTATTTCTGCTAATTTAACAATCAGATTACAATACAATCTCTAAGTTAAAAGATATGGTATTACTTTAAAATACTATTATTATTAAGGGTTGTCCAACCTTAATATAGTAAAAATCACTTTTTTAATTTTACGCTCAACTTTTTTTTATTTTAATTTTTTTTTATCAAATTACCAAAATACAAATAAATCTTTTTACTCCCATACACTATTTTTTTGTCAAGGGTTATCTACCCATACCATTTTTTTAAAACTTTGGAACCAATTTTCTTCATTTTAAATTTCTATAATTTGAAATAGAAAAATTGCGTAGAACTCTTTTTACTTCGGAAAACTGTTTACTTTTATCAAGGTTGTTCACCCATTTTTTTTTTTTAAATTTTGGAATCATTTTTTTTAATCTAATTTGATTTTAGATTTTAATTTGATTTCACATAATTTTTTTAGTTAAGATTTTGTTGAGTTTTTGAAAATGCTTAAGGGGGTTGTTCTTTTTTTGTTACAAAACATGCAAGGTATTTGTTTTTGTTTTTCTCGAAATGTATTTATCATAAAGACATGCGGTTTTTTTAAAACAAAAATTACAAAATCATAGAATATTGAGAAATTTTTTGTTTTTTTTTCGCCGTCATTTTTTAACCAGGGGGCGCCAAAGTGGGCATTGCCAAAATCGATCTCGTTTGCGGTGCCACAGATAAATCTGTTGCGCATCGCTCGAAACAAAAAAAAAAAAACTACGTTGAAGAAGAAATTTGAATCCAGTCCCCCTACCAAAATGAAAGAAAAAAAGCAAGAAGGAAAAAAATGGCAGCTATTTAAAAAAAAAATGTCAAAAATAGCCTTTTTTGGACGAGAAGGTTCGCAAAATTTTTTTGCGTAATGTTATCAAGTTGTTTGAGGTAGGGGGACTAGGTATTGCAGTGGTGAACAAATTAAAAAAAATGCAAGTCGATCCGACTTGTAGTTTTTTTTTAATTTGTGGCACCGCATTGAAAAAAGTCAATTTGAGAAAAACGTATTTAAAGTTTTTAATATAATGTACTAAATACACCATTTAATTTAATGTGCGAAATACATCATCGTGTTCAAAGTTGCTGACACATTAAAAAGGTATGTGCATGAGGTATATAGATGAAAGAGGGCAGCTGGCATACAATAGCTCGCGGAACGATAAAAAAACGCTTTCAGAGGATCATACGTATAGAGATATATATATCTATAACTTCGTCAAAAAAATAGATATTGAGATGATTTTTTTTTTAAATCATTCTAAGGTTTTTAGCTTTCATAATATGGACATTCATATGTGGCGTGCTTTGCAGTGGGTAAATTATTTATATATTTTTTGTTAGCTGCTTCTTTTACTCTTGCACCACATTTGCAATCAGTTAGTTATTTTCGTACTAAACATTTTATACTAGAAATATCGTTTTTGGCAAAACATTTGCCGGGTCAGCTAGTATATATAATATAATTATTTATCTTTTATTTTTTCCTCAGGTGCTGAGTCGTTATGGTGAGTTCAAGAAGGAAGCTCGTAACAAGCGTGAGAAATTGGAGGATTCTCGAAGATTCCAATATTTCAAGAGAGACTCCGATGAACTGGAAAGCTGGATTCACGAAAAACTGCAGGCTGCTTCCGATGAAAGCTACAAAGATCCCACCAATTTGCAGGTATATACACGAAGAGAAAGTTTAAATGTGATGTTGAAATTCTTACTAAAATGTTTTTTCTTTGTTATTAGGCTAAGATCCAGAAACACCAGGCTTTCGAGGCTGAAGTGGCTGCTCACAGCAATGCTATTGTTGTCCTGGACAACACTGGTACTGAAATGATCAGTCAGGGACATTTTGCTTCTGATACTATTCGCAACAGACTAGGTAATAATAATAAAATAAATTAGACTTTGGTATAATATATATATATATATATATATATATATATATACATATATATATATATATATATATACATATATTTGAATAGTCTTGAATTTGATGTTGATATATATGTTTAATATTCGGGCGTAACATCAATAAAAATAGTATGAGAGTTTTTTTAAAAGTTTATTTATTTAAAATCCATACGTTTCGGCTAGCATCTTAGCCATCATTCAGTGGTAATCAAATAATCTATAAAAAATTGAAACTAAATAATTTATATGAACGGAAATTTCATGGAAAAACAATAATAATAATAATAGTAATAAAACACTTACAAATTTGTATCCTAATATAGCATATGAAACGATTATTAATCCATGGTATGAGTATGTGCACATTGATGAGATATATATATTTTAACACAAACATCACAAATGGTAAAACACACTAATAACCATGATAACTTAACAAGTTGTCGAAACTATTTACTCTTCGGAGTTTAGGATAGAAATGTCACATTTTTCTCAAAGCAGTTTTTAGCATGTGTTTTAGCATGTGTAGCATATATTTTTTGGAAAATTTAAAAAGTGATGGGATTTTGTTATTTTTTAAGAAATTTTGTCACGCTATTAAGAAACCACGTGTTCGTTTCGTTCAGGGCCGTATTGTCGAAGCGTTTGTTAATGACCCTGTCGTTATATAATTGCAAATATTATATATATATATATATATATATATATATATATATATATACACACCTTTCAACATCTGTTACAATATCAAGTTGTGGTTTTACTTGTTATTGATATATTTTATTTTTATTTGATAGATGAATTACATCGCTTGTGGGAATTGTTGTTGTCCAAGTTGGCTGAGAAGGGAATGAAATTGCAACAGGCTTTGGTTCTTGTTCAATTCTTGAGACATTGTGGAGAGGTTTGTATAAATTATATTTGATACAATAATAAATAGTAGTTTGCCCGAAGGCAAAGAGTTCATGGCCCATAAATCAATGAATCTCTTTCCCTCTTTTATTTATTATTTCCATTACTATTATTCACTTTTTATGCACTTGATGCATTTTCCTTTCCAAAGAGCATTTACATTTTGAAGAAAATTTATACAAAAGACGCATCTGTGAAGAATATTTTATAACCATAACAACAAAGTAATGAAAAATTGTATATGTACAATATAAATTCTTCTTTTCTTAGGTTTTGTTCTGGGTTCATGACAAAGAAGCCTTCGTTACAGCTGAAGAATTCGGTTCAGATTTGGAACACGTCGAAGTTTTGCAAAGAAAATTCGATGAATTCCAAAAGGACATGGCATCTCAAGAATATCGTTTTGCTGAAGTAAACGATATGGCTGATAGACTCGTTTTGGAAGGACATCCCGAAAGAGACACCATTTTGAAGAAGAAAGAAGTAAGTTGAATAATATTAACACTTCACCATAATCCATAAACTTTTACGATTTATTATTTGTTGTTCTGTAGGAGTTGAATGAAGCCTGGCAACGTCTTAAACAGCTGGCTCTGATGAGACAAGAGAAGCTCTTTGGGGCTCATGAGATCCAACGCTTTAACAGAGATGCTGATGAGACCGTAGCCTGGATTTCAGAGAAGGATGTTGTTTTATCTTCAGATGATTATGGAAAGGACTTGGCCAGCGTGCAGACTCTGCAAAGAAAACACGAGGGAGTTGAGAGAGATTTGGCAGCTTTGGAAGATAAAGTTTCTACTTTGGGTATGTTGAATTTTGAAATACTTTATATGGCAAAACATGGTTTGCCAGGTCAGCTAGTATATATATATATATATATATATATATATATATACTAGCAAACCCGACGAACTCCGTTTCGCCACCAGATGATTTCGTGAGAAAGATGAAGAAATTTTTTGTTTGTTTTATATTTGAAAAGGAAAAATGTGGTTTTATTATACAACAGTAATGAATTTATTTCGATTACAAAAATGAAGTGTTTTTTAGTTGAATTCTCTAAGTAAATGAAAGTGAATCCGCAAATTATCCGTTTCATTGAAGTGCTCTTTGGTAAACCACATTTTTTGTTTTTTGGTCTGACGTTAACACAAACGAAGCGGATGGTTTTCCAACTCGTGAACAGGCAACGTATATATTACAAAATACGTATACATATACAAAAGAAAAATTAATTATTGCAATTTGATACATCACGATCTGTAATTGACTACCGCGTCATTGTGCTCATTAATTTTAATTACTTTAAAATGTGTGGAATGGCATATTTTTATATAGTTCTAAAGAAAAGAAATGCTGTGAATAAAAATAATCACTTTATATGAATTTTAGGTTAGATTCTGTATATTATTGTACATATTATTTTTATGTGACCACAAGTTAAGACTAATCTTTGAATTGAAGTAAAATAGTGCCTTAACAAAGCGACAAAATCACAAAAGTCTTCCTTAATAGCTTTTATAATGTTTAGTATTTAAATAAAGAAATGTATTATAGCTACAATAATATGAAAATTATTGAATAATGTATTATATTGTAAATATTCGAAATTAATTAATAGATTATGATTGTATTTATTGTAAATTTAAGAGAGAATTTTAAAAGAATATACCAATATAACTGCCTATGTGAAAAACAATGATTTTCTGAATAATCTATTTGAAATTTATCCCGCAAACACTAAGCGATTGGCCTTGCGACTTGTTATTGCGAACTGAAAATTGCAATCGTTTGAAGTCAAACGGAAGACCAGTCGGAATCAGTGGTATGTCACCAAATCGCCAGCAATTTTTGATTGAATGGTGAAATTCAGTGCGTGTACATCATTAATCTTTGCGGTAAGAATTGCTCGTTGCCTTAACCAAGTATAATTCTGATAATTCTCACTACAGTCATTACTCGAATTTTTAATTACGGTGCGTGAAGTTCCAGCAATTTGCATTAAGGCACGATGCCATGCACCACTAATTTTCTTAGCTATAAATTTTTTGGAGCCCGAGACCTTTCCAACGAATGCAAAATTGTCGATATCAGTTCGTGCGTTCTGGAGTTATTTCGTCAGGAAGGAAAACTCGACTTATTTATATATATATATATATATATATATATATATATATAGAAGATATATATTACTAGTTTGTATTTTTCTCTTCAGGTGATGAAGCCCAACGTCTCTGTTCAATTCATGCTGATCACAGCGAGCAAACCAAATCTAAGCAGAAGGAAATCGAAGATTACTGGCAGAGCCTCACTGCCAAGGCCAAGGAACGTAAGAAGAAGTTGGACGAGTCTTATTTCTTGCACAGATTCTTGGCTGATTTCAGAGACTTGATTTCCTGGATTAATGGTATGCGTGCTGTTATTTTGGCCGATGAGCTAGCTAAGGACGTTGCTGGAGCTGAAGCTTTGTTGGAACGTCACCAGGAACATAAGGTAAGACATTTAAATTACCAAAGTATCATAATAGATTCTTGAGCAACATTGAAAATATTAGTTCAGGAGTTCCTCAGGGATCCATTCTTGGTCCACTACTATTTATTATTTTTATTAATGACATTTGAAATTATTAGCTGCCCACATTTATTATTTGCAGATGATCTCAAACTATATCTCAAAATAAATTCTATTGATGACTGCTTATTATTACAGTCTCAACTTGACTCTTTCCACTCTTGGTGTATCTATAACAAATTACATTTAAATATATCAAAGTGCAAGATTCTTAGTTTTACACATAAGCGTGTTCCAATACTTTTTGATTATAAAATTTCTAACACCAGCATTGATAGATGTAATAAAATTTTCGATTTAGGTGTTCTATTTGATTCTGATTTGTTTTTCACAGATCATGTAACTGATATTTGTAATAGAGCACATCAATCTTTAGGTTTGATACTAAGAAATTGTAAACAATTTAAGTCAACCAATGCACTTCTTTGCATGTACTATTCTATTGTACGTTCAAAATTAGAATACGGTTCGATTATTTGGTATCCTCATCATATCAACAACTCTGATGCGATAGAGAAGGTTCAGCGAAAATTTCTGAAATATCTCTATTATAAAACATATAAAATTTACCCTGAACGTGGCTTTGACCACAACACTTTACTAAAAGAATTTGGTATTCCTTCTCTTGCCTCACGTCGATTTATCTGTACAATTATGTTCTTATTCAAGCTTTGCAATAATTTTATAGACTGTCCTCTTATTCTCAATCAACTATCCTTTAATGTTTCAAGGCTATCTACGCGTTCACAATTATTTTTCTATTATACTACTCCTAAATCTAATTCTCTCTTAAATTCGCCAATTTTACTCATGTCCTCTAACTTTAACTTAATTAATAATGAAATAGACAAGTTAATCTTTTTATTTTCTTTCAAATATCTCATTATTTTCTTATTCTGTTTATAAATATTATTGTTACATTCTGCATTATATGTAATTTTTTATCTTAGCATTTTATGTTACTAACTATATATTGTAATTTTGTATATATTTTAATTGTTATTCATTATGTAAAATAATTGTATTTTTGAGTCCTCTTGGAGAAATCTGTGGGCTATATATTTAAATAAATAAATAAATAAATAAATAAATAAAATAATCCTTGATTTAGTATTTATTATTATATATGTCATTTTCTTTTTTAGGGTGAAATTGATGCCCGCGAAGACAGTTTTCGTAGCACTTTAGATGCCGGTTCCAAGCTTTTAGATCGAGAACATTATGCTTCAGGTGAAGTCCAAGAAAAATTAGGAGCCCTAACCGATGCCAAGGCTTCTCTTTTAGCTTTGTGGGAAGAACGTAGAGTTTTATATGAACAGTGTATGGATTTACAACTGTTCTATCGTGACACAGAACAAGCTGATACCTGGATGGCTAAACAAGAAGCATTCTTGGCTAATGAGGACTTGGGAGATTCATTGGATTCGGTAAGATAATGGACTCTAATTAACCCGCATCCGTCCCTTAAAACTTCAAACGTTAAAGTTCCTATGTATCAATTTGATACAGGCTAGAAAAACAGGCATAAATCATACAAAAATATAAACAAATCGATTTGTTTTTGTTGTTGATCAAAGGTTGTTTATTTGTGAGTATTTCTAAAATAACAAAAATGTAAAAATTACGTGCATTTGTCACAAATTTTGAAGAAATGCTGAGCACAAATGTACTTTTTACACTTGTCACAGCGACTTCTGTACAAATTCGAGTTATTTTTCGATGTACAGATATGACAACGGGATCTTTTGTTTGCCGGTGGTAATTTTTCTAATACACCACTTGCTCTTGAACTGGAAGGATCTTGGGTGTTGTACAATAATTTTTTTGTATGCAGTGTACTCAAAAGAGTAACACACCGGTTTTTTTTCGGTATATATGAGACCATAGTAAGGCGCAAATTATGATCGAACACAAACTCTGAATGGTATTGTGGCTTTCGCTTCATGTCCAATGGAATCGGTGGTATTTCTTTGCGGTTCTTCCTTATGGTGCCAACGATCGTCATCTTGCGTTGTTTCAGCTCTTTGGCCAACTCGTACGAGGTGAAAAAATTGTCGCCAACCACATACATTGTTCGCAAATTTTTATTCCATTTGTCGAAAACATTACGAATCGCAGCGAGCTTATCTCTTGCAAGTCGATCAAGTCGATCCTCTTTGTCATCGAAACGTATGCATGAATTCAAATACTTGAAGTATTTCAACGACATTGTTGCTCTAAATATCGGCCGTCCACGCTTGTCATCCCACAATTCAGTCATGCATTCACCTTTCGAACGGTAAACACCCGCCAATAATAGCAAACCAAAATAAGCTCGTAAGGTGACCAAATCGATGTTTTCCCATGTCTCTTTGAATTTCCTTAGACCATACAAATTCGTCATATCAAGCACAATCGTCTCGATTGGTTTCAGAAATAGCAAAAATGCAGAAACTGGATTAGTGATACGTGAAGTAGCATATGTAGTTGGACCTAAACATACACAAATGTGTTATTTCATATGATCAACGACAAGCCATAAAAAAACATACCTTTATGAATTGTTGGTATTGAATTTCTTCGAGTATCTGGTGGACAATCATCTCTCGAATATTGAATTTTTTTGTCTTTCGATAAAATCCATGTATTCGGTTGAAGAATTGCTTGCTCACGCTCTTCTTGAGTGGCACACACCAATTCATCTTCGCTCTCCTCACCCTCCTCTTCAGTTTCAGCATCAATTGGCTGGTTATCCTCATCGTCATCACTTGAACCACAATACCAAAAAATAAGTAGAACGATATATGTATGTATACTATACTCTATACAGCTGTATGTGCCACACACCAATAATGTATCAATATGATACAAAGAACCGATTTGTAACATTTTTTGTAGGGCCTTTCCATGACGTCACGCACATGCATTGAATGTTTTTTTTGTTCATTTAGAATAGTTAGGAAGGTAGCCAAAAACTCGAATCCAAATATTTATACGTATCCCTTTTTTTTTAGTTTGAATTTTGAATTTGTATCAAATTGATACTAGGGACAGATGCGGGTTTATTACGATTATAGTTTTTTTCTCATTTGTTAAGGCACGATGCCATGCACTATTAGTTCTACTTTTTTTCCCATTTGTTTTAATTTCATTCATCTACCTTCAGGTGGAAGCGTTAATCAAGAAGCACGAAGACTTTGAAAAGAGTCTTGCAGCACAAGAGGAGAAAATCAAAGCCCTTGATGAGTTTGCCAGCAAATTGATTGAAGGAGAACATTATTCAGCTGAAGATGTAGCCGATAGAAGAAAGATGCTGTTGGCAAGAAGATCGGCTCTTCTGGAGAAATCTGCACATCGTCGTGGACTACTTGAAGATTCATTCAGGCTGCAACAATTTGAAAGGGATTGCGACGAGACTAAGGGATGGATTAATGAGAAAATCAAGGTAAAGATAATATATTTTTATAATAAGATAAAAAGTGCGCGTAAGGTTCACACGCGATTGAAGTAAAACTTATTTGCTACTGTACAAGAAGGCATTCAAGTAAAAATAAATACATCATATAACAATTTTGAATAATGTTTATTAGTAATATGGTAACACTCTTGATCGTAACACATTTATTAGTGGCGATCATTATACACATTTATATAATGATAAATTATAAATTATATATTTATAGTAGCATTAAAAATATGTATAATATTTAAAAACAATAATGTAATTAAAGTCATACTTCAAATATGACATGATCGGTTTGTCATTGTAATTAGCATTTAGGACTTGAACCTTTATTAGAAAAATGAAGTAATTGCTGATAAATTCTATAATATTATTTGTTCACCCAATGGATTTTGTTAAACAACGCCTAAACAAATATTGTTTTTGCTACTTCACTCATCATGTAATAATTGTGTTTGAAGAACTTCATGTAATTAAAATTAACATACATTCATTGACTGCTTGTATTTTTTTTTACTTTTTTGCTGTAATATCTGTCTTGCTTAAAAATTATTAACCTCCCGTAGTTATAGTAGGCAAGTTATAGTAATCGCAAAAAAATCGAAAATGAAAATTTTTGCATTTCTCGACGTTTCAAAGGTTTCTGAATATTTTGGCATACCTTAGACAAAATGGATGTATGTGTGTGTGTGGTGTGTGTGGGTGTGTGTGTGGGTGTGTGTGTGTGTGTATGTATGTGCGTGTGTGTATGTATGTGCGTGTGTGTATGTATGTGCGTGTGTGTATGTATGTGCGTGTGTGTATGTATGTGCGTGTGTGTATGTATGTGCGGATACAAATTTTCGTCGACGATTTCGGGAACACCTATCAACCGATTTGAATAATTCAAAAAACATTCGATTTGTATTGATAAGGAGTCGTGCTGATTAGTTTTTGGCGAAGGCAGATCTAGCCGTTCCGAAGATACGGGGCAAAAAGTGCCGAAAACCGTAACTCAGTTTTTAAGAGAACGGAGCGTTCGATTTTAATAATTCAAAAAACATTTTACTTGTATTGACAAGGTGAAGAACCGATCAAATTTTCATAAAGGCAGGTCTAGTGGTTTCGGAGATCTAATGAAAAAAGTAAAAAAAAAATGCCATTTGGCGGCCAAAAATCATCATTAGACATATGCACATCAAATTATCAGATATTTTATAGAGATTTTAACGATAAGTATAAATTTGGTTTACATTCCTATGGGTTCCGTACCAATGTTTACGCGTTAGACGGCGACGCGGCGCTTACGCGCTTTGATATTTCATCTTCATGCAGTTAAAGCAGTACGATTGCTTTGAAAAAAAGTTTAGATATCCCAAAATTAGTCAAAATAAAAAAAACATTTTTTTTTTCAAGAAAAAAATTAAAAAAAAAAAAATATTTAAATTTTTTTTTTCAAAAGAAAGTAATTTTTTGTCCAATTTATAGTTTCTGACAAATCTTATTTTTTCGAAGTAAAATTGTTTCAAAAATGTTAATCGTTTTTAAAAATAATAATAATTTTTGGTACGGGAAGTTCCAGCAATTTGCCTTAAGGCACGATGCCTCAATTGCCTTAAGACAGAATTCCACTTACAGCTAGTTTTCCATTTTAATGACTTCAAAGATTTATAGAAACTACGAATAATATAGAAATAATTTCTAATCAATAAACTTACATTCAGTACACGGCACAAATGTTTAATTTGTTTTATTATTTTCAAGGAACGGGGTAAAATATTCTTCTGATTCGGGCATTTTTCATTAAATCAAGACTTGTACTACGATGTAACTTTAAAATGATTATCTATCTATTCCGATTTTCTTGTTGATATCGGTTCGTTGATGCCGATACGCATACAACAAGTTTCTATTCACATACACGATGACTAATCACAATCGATCCGTATAGAAATGATTTTGTATAGAAAAGAGCGAATGACCAATTATTGGCACTCGACTCTGCCGTAACGCACTTCTGTTGCATATGTACGGATTTACACCCTATTTCTAAAGAAGTTTTACTTTAAAAAATTGGTTGTAAATTTGGTTTATTTTTGTTTTCAGTTTGCAACTGATGACAGCTATTTGGATCCAACCAATATCAATGGCAAAGTCCAAAAACATCAAAACTTCGAACAAGAACTAAACGCCAACAAGTCTCGTATGGAAGACATCACCAATACTGGACACAGCTTAATTGAAGCAAACCATTATGCTGCTCCTCAAATCGAAGCCAGGATGAGTGAAATTGCAGGATTATGGGAAGCTCTGGTTAATGCCACCGATAAGAAAGGTAAGCTGGTTATAGAAATACTAGATAGAACTAATTGGTTTGGTATGTGTAAATAATCGACTTAATCAAAAAAAAAAATGTAAATAATATACTTCATCAATCCTACTTTAAAAAAAACGATAATAATTTTAGCAAAGTTTGACGAATTTTTAAAATTAAACTACTTGTCGTGAGGCCGTAATATTACAGTAAGTTCTATAAGACCATGATGTATATCGACAAAAAAAGTTCCATGAAAATCGGCTTAAATTTTTTTTTCAACAGTTCATTACAAGAAAACGGCTCGGTAGATTTTTACCTAAAATTAATCAGTACCATTCCCAACTAATATCTTTCGAACAGTTTTTGATTTTTTAAAATCGGTTCGGTAGGATGAGCTTAAATGTGGACGAAAATTTAACACTTTTTTTCAACAATTAATTACAAGAAAACGGCTCGGTAGATTTTAACCTAAAACTAATCAGTATTATTCCCAACTAATATCTTTCGAACAGTTTTTGATTTTTTAAAATCGGTTCGGTAGGATGAGCTTAAATGTGGACGAAAAGTTTAACACTTTTTTTCAAATTGCAAAGAAACGGCTTGGCAGATCGTCACACAAAACTGACAAACCTCAGATAGTCCTCACCGAAATACATCAAATAGCTTTTAAATTTCTAAAATCGGCTCAGGCGTTTTTGAGAAAACGTCGATCAAAGGTCTAACTTTGACAAATGCCAAAAAAACAATACCAATTTTTGCAAACTTTAACGAATTTTTAAAGCTGAACCAGTTGTCGTAGGGCCGTAATATTTTAGTATGATATAGAAGACTATGGTATCTACCGTCAAAAAAATAATCATAAAAATCGTCGAAATTTTTTTTTTTAAAACTTTATTACAAGAAAACGGCCCGACCGATCTCTACCAAAAACTAATCAGCACGATTCCCAACCAATATCTTTCGAACGATTTTTGAATTTTCAAAATCGATTCAGAATTGCGGGCTAAAACGTGGACGAAAAAATTTTCACTTTTCTGTAATTTACAAAGAAACGGCCCGGCCGATCGTCGCACAAAACTCAGAAACGTTAGTACTCATCGAGATACATCGAATGGCTTTTAAATTTTTGAAATCGGTCCAGCCGTTTTTGGAGAAAACGTCGATTTACGGCAAAAAATCTGTTCACACACACACATACACACACATACACACACACACACACACACATACTTTTTCCAAATTTGGTCTCATTCGATTCAGAATGGCTCGAAACGTCGAGAAAACATAAAATTAGCGATTCGGATTTTTTGATGAAAACATAAACTTCTCCTTCGGGAAGTTAATAGGAGTAATATTTTCCGGGGATTATAACACTTTTGTTTTTTTTCAGGATGTAAATTGCAAGAGGCTTCTCAACAACAACAATTCAACCGTACAATTGAAGATGTCGAGCTCTGGTTGTCCGAAATCGAAGGCCAACTGTTGTCTGAAGACTATGGCAAAGATTTGACCAGCGTGCAGAACTTGCAGAAGAAACACGCTTTGCTTGAGGCTGATGTAGGAGCCCACAATGACAGAATTGATGGTAGGATTTCACATTAATAAATGAGCCGTTCAGTGCACAGATCGACTAACTCCGAAAGTCGGAAAGTGGAGAAAAGCGATAAAGTAATGTATATTGCTTTTAAAAATTCCTGTTATAATATAAATTGAAAAATATATTTTAGAACGTATAAATACATATATAGCTTACATGTAACAGTATATAAGATTTATAACTATTAATAGTGAGATAATAATTATCATTAAAGTTAAAGTTTTGATATGACTTGTGGAGTTAATCAAGTTTTCATCTTTTTTTAAACTTTAAACATTTTTTTAAAATTCGGATCTTCATTGTAGTCACACTTAAATTGTATATCGTTGGGTTTGGACCTTTCTATTCTAAATTCAGCGCATTTTAGTCCAATTTTTTGGACACCCTGTGTTTTAACTTTTCTGTTATTGATTTATTGTTCTAAATAAATAAAAAATAGATAAAAAATCTTAGTGAAGCATTCGGCTTAGCTACAATGGCGCTTTTTTCTTAAATGTTTTTATTATATTGTATCAACTATCTGGTAAAATTATGTCTCGATTTTTTTTCGCACGTGACTCAATAATAACAAAATCTTGAGTTAATAGATTAATAACTGTTTTAATCGACCAGAAATTTATTTTTAATTAAGTTAGCTCTTATTTCCGTACTTTGAACAAGTTTCAATAAACTTCAGGCAGTTTTAATATTCTTGTTTTGCCGGGTACACGAATTTTAGTATGTTATTTTTTCAAAGTTTGTAACGTCTTCGATGTCTTTTATAAAACTAGATGAATTTTTTTCAAGACCCACAACACCCTACAGTTCTGTGTTCTTATTCGTAATTCATGAATTTGAAACCCGAAATCCAACCCAACTAGAACATATACACTACAGAATGGAGTTAATCAAAATGTCTTCTGAAATAAATGACTTATGGATTTAGTGGTCAAAAAAAATTTTCGTTTCACAGTGGCAATTTTTATTCTTTTGGAAAATTATTATAATCATAAAAAGTTATGATTATACCAAGTTCTTTCCCACTAATATCTCAGATTTTCAAAAAGTGGAGTGTGTGCACTGAGCGGCTCAAATAAGCCAAAGTGTATTTTTTACAAAATTGATTCCTTTATTTTTTTCTCTAGGAATTAAGTTATCAGCTGGTCAATTCGTCGAAGGTGGCCACTTCGACGCCGATAACATTCGCGCAAAAGAAGTGGCCCTGGCTGAAAGATACCAGGCCCTGCATGCACCCATGGCTCAACGCAAAAAGAGACTCCTGGACAGCTTACAGGCTCAACAGTTGTTTAGGGATTTAGATGATGAAGCTGCTTGGATCAGAGAAAAGGAACCAGTTGCTGCATCTACTAACCGAGGACGTGACTTGATCGGTGTGCAGAATTTGATGAAGAAACATCAAGCTGTTTTGGCTGAAATTAATAATCACGAAGGTAGGAAGAATCATATCATTTAAATAAATAACGTAAAATAGTTTTTATAAATTGGTTCTGGTAAGTTAAAAGAGAAAATACTAAAAGTATGTTTTCTGTTTTAACTTTCTGTAGGGTAGAATAAGTTTGTCGCCCAATTTAATGAGCACTAATAAATTTACAGTATGTATTTATAATAGACTAGATGACCCGACAGACGTTGTACTGTACCCACATCTACATTTTTTTAATATACTATACTAATATTTACACAGTTCAATTAAAAATAATAATTGTTGTTTTTCGAATTACTATTTGCACAAATATGAGTAATATTAAATGTAGAACTGCTTCAAATAAAATGATGATTCTCAATTCCCACATTTAACACTTCAATTATCCCTTTAACAAATATTAAAATATGTTCAATAAAATTGTATATTAAAAATTATACACTGCAATTAATAGAACAAATTTATTTCCAATAGCTCGATTTATTTTAATGCCAAGGGTTATCCAACATTTTTAGTCATACCTATAGATGTGGATGTATTTTGTTTATTTATGACTAAAACATTGATTTTCCAAATTTTTCACACAAAAAATCATCGTCTGCCTTTGTGATGTATTTATGGTAATAGCATAAGAACTCTTTTAAAAGGTTTATCAAATTTAGGAAGAATTAATATAAAGCATTCGCGGTAAAGGTACAATATCACCTGGGAATTATCTACCCAAAATATTTGCTTTAATAATATTGCCTATAATTTTTATAATTTTGTACCATATTTTAAATGGTTTCTTGTAATTTTAATATCTAAATTACATTTTGCTCACTTATAATTCAATATACATTATTACTTATCTAAAGTTCAGAAGTGAAAACAATCATATTAAAATAATTAACTATTCCAATTGCGAAATGTAATGAAAATCGCACATAGATTCCAATTAGAGTAATTTGAATTCAACAAATATAAATATAATATAAAAAATATATCTCAAATTAGCATATTTTGTCTTTAGATATACGAGAAAATTTTGAGATTTATTAAGGGAACGCCCATTAATCACGTGTGCAATTTTTAAGGATTTTTTGACACCCTCCCTTCCCCTTGGTGATATTTAAAATTACTTCTTCCCCTTAAACATCACATTCATTTTACCTAGTACCTAGAAAAAATCGTAAAATTTTGGATTTTTTTTAACAATTTTGGATTTTTTTTATATTGATAATAATTTGAGATTTTTTGTTAAAGCCCTCCCTTCCTCTTAAAGGCTCACGTGATTAATACGGAACAGACAAAACAGAAATCTAAGTTTCGATGCAACTTGTACTATTTTTAGTTGTATTTTTTAATGTAATTAAAGCTCCTAATTACCGAAGAACATATCCGCTATCAATATAAACACGTTTTTAAATGTGGTTAAAACTCAAAGGTTTACATTAATAAAATAATTAAATAAACGCATATATATTAATATCTTATAAAACCCTACTACCTCGAGGCTTCAAATGTGTAAATGGATTAATTGGATTACAACTCTTATAATTCTGACTTTATCAGAACTTGTAATATACTATTTTAAAGGTAATGGCAAATGACAGTCTTTTCAATGCCAAACAATGCCTCAAATATTTTCAATGTCAATGAAAAATAAGCGTTTTTTTTTATAACATTTTTCATTTATTTCTACAATCTAACTATATTTTATAATTCAAAAAATCATAATAAAATCCCATGACAAACTTCAGAAAGATTTATCAAAATTCGAATAATCGTTTAGGAGGATTATCCTTTCATACACCATTACAGAAGAATTTTAACGCTCAAATTGATTCTACGTTTTAGTTAGAAAACGTTTGTATGTGAAAAAGAAAAGGGCTGTCTTTGGAGTTTTTCCGGAAATTATTTCGCCGTAAGAACCGTCCTTGGACCTCAGCGAATATTTAAAAAAAAAAAATTGGCCAAATTGGTCCAGGCGTTTTTGAGTTATGCGCTTACCAACACATTTTGCGATCCATTTTTATATATAAGATAAATAATCTATTTGAAATTATTTATTAGAAAACAACTATTGGTTATTTTCATTTCTCGAATGTTTAATTACGGTACAGAAAGTTCCAGCAATTTGCCTTAAGGGGGTATTCTACTGTAGAGTCATGAATTTCGCCCGGTTTTTGAAGCGCTGTATAAAGGAAACAAATAATATTTTTACTATCGATTTTTTGATCATTTGTTTATTGATATTTTATTATTACATAAAAAAATTATTATTAAAAAAAATTAAAATTTACAAAGTTATGAGCAATCAAAGTGGAGGTTCCCAAAAAAAAGAGGGTGTCCTGGCGTACATGATTCCAACCCTCCTGGTGATTTGAAACATAAAAAATAGATGGATTCTTAATTATAATAGATGCCGCTATCGTATGAACCTTGGATAAGTTAAACAAATTTGTTTTGTTTGAATGGTGGCAGTTTGAAAAAAAAAAATTTTTTTTTTCATGTTTTTTTAACAAATCCTAATTTTTTAAAAATACTAAATAAAAAGTTATAGTTTTGGGCAAGGTCCATACGATAAAGCGATGTATAGAGAAGATTCTCTCCAAATTTGAAGTAAATCGGTTCATTAGAACTCGAGATATCCTTACCGCCAGCTCGAAAAAAGTAGTTCCGAGAAAAACGCGTTCAAAGTTTTGAGACAAGTTGGACCCGAACCGAGGCCACGTTACTAAAACGGCTATAACTCAAGAAATAATAGTAATTTTGAAAAATCCATTTAATGACATATTTTTGAATAACTAAACTTTGAAAATTTGAAAAAAAAATTCTTGGATTTTTTCAAAATTCTACAGTAGAATACCCCCTTAATGCACGATGCCCTGCACCACTAGTTAATTTGAGTCATTTCCCCTTAGCTCGTATGGCTGCAGTTCTTGTTGCCGGAGCCCAAATGATCGATGAACAACATTTTGCTGCTCCCGAAATCAAACAGCGAATGGATCAACTGGAAGAGCAATGGAACCAGCTCAAGGAAAAAGCTTTGAAACGAAAACAAGACCTCGAAGATTCTCTACAAGCCCACCAATATTTTGCTGATGCAAATGAAGCCGAATCCTGGATGAGGGAGAAGGAACCAATCGTCTGCAATCAGGATTATGGCAAAGATGAGGACAGTTCTGAAGCACTTTTGAAGAAACACGAAGCTTTGGTCAGCGATTTGGAGGCTTTTGGAAATACTATTGAGGGGTTGAAGGAGCAGGCTGCTAATTGCAGAGTAAGTGTAGTAAGGAATAAAAATTAATTGTATTAGCTGGTAGTATTTGTTCAATATAGTCCAGTCATTTGGTGCAAATAAAAGGCTGTTGCCGGTACAGTACTCCGGGAATTCTGGAAATTGGTAATCTTATAGTTTTCGAGGTGCTCTTTACGAAAATCAACTTTTCCACCTCAAATTTGAACGGCAAGTTAAAACAATAGCGTCAAAAAACAGCTTTTTTAAAATATCTTTTTTCTGGCTTTCGTACTTATATATTTTCTGCAATTCGTACATATATACTTTTATCGTAGAATAAGCCAGAAAGCAGATATTTTAAAAAAGCTGTTTTTTGACGCCATTTTTTCAATATGGCGTCAACTTGTCGTTCAAATTTGAGGTGGCAAAGTTGATTTTCGTAAAGAGCACCTCGAAATCTATAAGATTACCAATTTTCAGAATTCCCGGAGTACTGTACCGGCAAAACGACAAAATGACTGGACTAATAAGTTTCTATTAGGGTTTATACAAAAACCGACATTTCAGAAAACCGGTTTTCGATTTTTAATTTTACTAAAAACCGGTTTTAACCGGTTTTCCAATTTTATATAGAAAATAAATTTTTGCTCGAATATTCTGTAATTTATCAGCAAATTTAATGTAATTTAGAGCAGTTTATTCACTGAATTTATTGCTCAATTTTATAGATAGTAAACAAAATTATTTCAATTTTAATTAGTAGAACTAAAAAATAATAGTTTATCTTGATTAAATAACTTTGAAAATAATTATTTGTTATTCATGCATCATTTTTACATATAAGAATGAAAATATTAGGTTGTCAAATATCTCCCTTCCGCCTTTTTGTATTATAAACCAAGAGCAAAAAAGCGGAAGGGAGATATTTGACAACCTATTATATGATATTTTTATGATAGTGAAAGGAAAGTTTTCGAATAAATAAAAATAATACATTTTTAAATAAAAAAAATGCATTAAATTAAAAAAAAAAGAAAAAATATTAGATACATGCTAATACATACTTGTTAATATCAATTTTAGTTTTAAAAACAATTAAGCTAAACTCGGGTATTGTCTGTTCCAAACAATTTTAATTAATTAATTTTAAACATTCTAATTGTTTTTTTGTTTAATAAAATATGATTTCAAAAAACTGAGAACAAGTATCGAATTGATACTTAGACATGTCCTTTGATTACTCACAAATTTCCTGAAATAGAAAATACTCTCATACTTGCGACCAAATTATGCTTAATTGTTTTTAAATCCTGATATAATTTTTTTGTTCTTTAATTTGTGACTTCTGGGGTTTCAAATTTATTTTTAAATTTGAGTAGGAAAAGTTACTTCTTCAAGAAGAAGTCACACTGATTTAAATTAATATATACGCTGGTATAAAAATCTAAATTAATATATACAAAACCTTTCTGGGAACCATTGCATACTGATAAGATATCAAATGCTATTGAACCGATATGATTTCAAGAATCAAAACGCTTTTATCTATCTTTTATATTTGGCTATATTTGTCATTTTTCATTTATACAGTGAAAACCGACTTTTTTCACTAAAAAAACGGTTTTCGAATTCCATAATTTTCGCCAAAAAAACGGTTTTTGAAAACTGACAAACTCTAGTTTCTATTATCTTTTAGCAACAGCAAACACCAGTTGTTGATGTCACCGGTAAAGAATGTGTAGTGGCTTTATACGACTACACTGAAAAGAGCCCTCGTGAGGTCTCAATGAAGAAAGGAGATGTCCTCACCTTGCTCAATTCTAACAACAAAGATTGGTGGAAAGTTGAAGTCAACGACAGACAAGGTTTTGTACCTGCTGCTTATGTTAAAAAGATCGAAGCAGGTTAGTAGAACAGTTTTCTCAAAATAAATATTTAATTGTAATAAAATTATTTCTATTATTTTATTTTTAGGTTTGAGTGCCAGTCAGCAAAATTTGGTCGACAGCAGTTCTATTGGAGCTCGGCAAACCCAAATTAACAACCAGTACGCTAATTTGTTGGGTCTTGCCAAAGATAGGCAACACAAATTGAATGAAACCGTAAAAGCATACGTACTTGTCAGAGAAGCTGCTGAATTAGCTACTTGGATCAAGGATAAGGTAATATATTATTAACTTCGCGTAGGGTAGTTATAGTAATGGGCCGAAAATCGAAAATGAAAATTTTTGCATTTCTCGACGTTTTGAAGGTTTCTGAACATTTTACTGGCTTACCTCAGAAAAAATCGATGTGCGTGTGTATGTGTGTGTGTGTGTGTGTTTTGTATGTCCGCATTTTTTCGTCCACGTTTTTGGGCGCACGGATCAACCGAATTGAATGGTTTAAAAAAACATTCGATGCCTATTGATAGGGTGATGTGCTGATTAGTTTTCGGCAAAGGCAGGTCACTCAATTTGTAATAATTGAGAGAAGAGGTGATTAGTTTTTGGCAAAGGCAGTTCTCGCCATTTCGAAGATACAGAGCCAAATGTGCAGAAAATGGCAGTTTTTGAGTGAACTAAGCGTTCGATTTGAATAATCTAAAAAACTGTCTGTTTTGACAAAACAATTGCTTTTGAGGATAAAAATTATTACATCTTTTTTTATGTTCTATATAATATTTTTGTAATTTTGGATTAAAAATTTAAAAAATCACCCAGACTAAGCACAGTCTAAGCGCCACTCTGGTGCAAATGTTTACCCAAGTGCGTTTAGACTCTTTATGTATGGAGCACTTTTACAATTTTGTGAAAACTATTGAAAAATGTGAAAATGCCGCCAAGCTAAGCACAGTATAAGTGAAAATGTCGCACAGAATTATTTGCAAATGCGTTTAGACTGTGACTATACGGGAGCATTTTTCAATTTTGTGTAAATTAGGCAACTATTTTTTTGAAGTTGAATTCGAAATGAAATGACGATTGTTAATGTTCTGGAGATAAATTGATTTACGATTTACATTTGATTTGCTCACAAGTTAGCAAAAATAATGAAATTTACAGTATTTGTAATAATATACACCTAAGTCTGTTTTTACACGGTAGATTGGTTCCAGAAGAAGCCGTGTAAAAAAAAAACCTTGTAAAAAAAGACATTAATCTTATACAAAAATGGGTGATTTGTTCCTAATCTCTAAAACCTATTAAAATTAGTGAATAACAAGAATTTTCAGGGTATTCCCCTAAATTAGTGCTATTCACATTTGCTTTGACCAGTAAAAATTGTTTGTACGCGCTAAAGGGGAATTCACTTAAATCTTTAAGCTAGTGTTCGCAAACTATCGATACTATCGATGGTTTCAGACTTTTTTCTTTCATAAATACTTTTTTGTGATATGAACATACTTCGCAAAAATTAAATTTGACAAAAAAAATTTAAGTACATAAAATTTCAAATCGTGCTAAATGGAATAAAATCGTGTAAAAAAATTAAAAATATTCAATTTTCAAACCGTGTTATATCAAAACCGTGTACAAAAAGACCGTGTAAAAACAGACTTAGGTGTATTTGAACACGTTTAAAATTTCTCGAATATTTCATTACGGTACCGGAAGTTTCAGCAATTTGCCTTAAGGCACGATGCCATACACCACTAGTTAAATATTTATTTGTAATATTGATTGCACTTTAAATTTACAAATTCAAATGTTTTTTCAGGAGAACCATGCCCAAATTGAAGACGTTGGTGAGGATCTCGAACAAGTGGAAGTATTGCAAAAGAAGTTTGATGATTTCCAGACCGATTTGAAAGCTAATGAAGTTCGTTTGGCTGAGATGAATGAAATTGCTATGCAACTCATGAGTTTAGGACAGACCGAAGCTGCTTTGAAAATTCAGACACAAATGGAGGTCAGAATAATAAACCTAAATAAACAATCTGTTATTATTTTTATTAACTTCCCGAAGGAGAAGTTTATGTTTTCATCAAAAAATCCGATTCGCTAATTTTATGTTTTCTCGACGTTTCGAACCATTCTGAATCGAATGAGACCAAATTTGAAAAAAGTATGTGTGTGTGTGTGTGTGTGTGTGTGTGAACAGATTTTTTGCCGTAAATCGACGTTTTCTCGAAAACGGCGGGACCCAATTCAAAAATTTAAAAGCCATTCGATGTATCTCGATGAGGACTAGCATTTCTAAGTTTTGTGCGACGATCGGCCGGGCCGTTTCTTTGTAAATCGCAGAAAAGTGAAAATTTTTTCGTCCACGTTTTAGCCCGCAATTCTGAATCGATTCTGAAAATTTAAAAACCATTCGATAGATATTGGTTGGGAATCGTGCTGATTAGTTTTTGGTAAAGATCGGCCGGGCCGTTTTCTTGTAATAAAGTTTTTAAAAAAAAAAATCGACGATTTTTATGATTTTCTTTTTGACGGTAGATACCATAGTTTTCTAGGTCATACTAAAATATTACGGCCCTACGACAACTTGTTTAGCTTTCGTCAAAATTTGCAAAAATTGGTATCGTTTTTTTGACATTTGTCAAAATGAGATCTTCGATCGACGTTTTCTCAAAAACGCCTTAACCGATTTCAGATATTTAAAAAGCATTTGATGTATCTCGATGAAAACTATCGTTTGTCAGTTTTGTGCGACGATCTGCCAAACCGTTTCTTTGTAATTCGAAAAAAAAGTGTTAAACTTTTCGTCCACATTTAAGCTCATCCTACCGAACCGATTTTAAAAAATCAAAAACTGTTCGAAAGATATTAGTAGGAAATGATACTGATTAGTTTTAGGTGAAAATCTACCGAGCCGTTTTCTTGGAATTAACTGTTGAAATCAAAATTTAAGCAGATTTTTATGGATTTTTTTTTTTAGTGATATGTACCACGGTCTTATAGAACTTGCTGAAATATTACGGCCTTACGACAAATAGTTTGATTTTAAAAATTCATCATTTGAGAAAATGAGTAGTTCTTTTGAGATTTGTTAAAATTAAAATTAGACTATTTACTTGGTATAATGATATAGTAATTGGTCTTGAACATAATAAACCATTAAAGTCCTGGAAACTGGTTCAATTATAAAAATTATTGATTTTTGAAAATTTGCTTTTAGAAAATACTCCTAGTCAAAGTGTTCGTTCGTTTTCAATCATATGTAATAAATCCACTCGGAATACTTTTAATGACTCATAAATTAAATTATTTTTTATTGATTAAGTCGATTATTTAAACATATCGGGAAGTTCATGTAACTTGCCTCAAGGCTTAATACCAAACCAACTAGTTTAACTATTTGTTTATTATTTCTTTCCCAGGATCTGAATCAAAAATGGACATCTCTCCAACAATTAACATCAGAACGAGCCACTCAACTCGGCTCAGCCCACGAAGTCCAGAGATTCCACAGAGATGTGGATGAAACCAAAGACTGGATGGCCGAAAAAGAAGAAGCCTTAGGCAACAAAGACCTTGGAAAAGACTTGCGTTCCGTTCAAGCTTTGCAAAGGAAACATGAAGGACTCGAGAGGGATTTGGCAGCTTTGGGTGATAAGATCAAACAGTTGGACGAAACAGCAAACAGGCTGATGCAGTCTCACCCGGATACCGCTGACCAGACTTATGCCAAGCAGAAGGAAATCAACGAGGAATGGACTCAGTTGACAACTAAGGCTACTAGCCGTAAAGAGAAGCTTTTGGATTCATATGACTTGCAAAGGTAAGATCAATATGATTTAAATAGACTGGGAATAGATGGATAAGGGGGCGTACATTGATCACGTGATCAATTTTTTAAGGATTTTTGGACCTGTTTACCAAAAAATTGTAAAATTTTTATTGATTTTATTAACTTCCCGTAGGGTAAGTTATTGTAATGGGCCGAAAATCGGAATTGAAAATTTTTACATTTCTCGACGGTTTGAAGGTTTCTGAACGTTTTGGCATACCTTAGAAAAAATGGATGTGTGTGTGTGTGCGTGTGTGTGTATGTATGTGTGTGTATGTATGTATGGATACAAATTTCCAGTCACGTTTTCGGGCGCACGGATCAACCGATTTGAATGGTTCAAAAAACATCCGATTCCTATTGATCGGGAAAAGAGCTGATTAGTTTTTGGCAAAGGCAGGTCCAACCGTTTCGGAGATACGGAGCAAAGAGTGCAGAAAATAGAAATCGTATTTTTGAGAGAACGGAGTATCCGATTTGAATGATCTAAAAAACATTCAATTAGTAATGATTGGGAGAAGTGTTTATTAGTTTTTGGCAAAGGCAGGCCCAGCCATTTTGAAGATACGGAGCTAAATATGTAAAAAATGGCAGTTTTTGAGAGAACTAAGCGTCCGATTTAAATGATTCAAAGAACTTTCTGCTTGTCTTAACAAAATAATCGATTTTGGAAAAAAAAATCGTCCCTTTTTTTTTTTTTTAGTTTTGTTGTATATCGAAAATATTTATTTTTAATTCTGACTATAGGTCTAATATACTATAGTAATAATTTCAATTCTGCAATTCAGTTTATATAATATTTAGAAATATATCGGGCCATCGCCTTATATCGGGCGACGTCGCTACCACTAGATGAACTGTCAAATCGTCGATTTTTAACGAATTTCTTTTTTGTTAGTTTTTTTGGTTTTGAGCACTGTTGTTTAGTTTATGATATCTGAATAGAAATTTTAAGTAACGGTATTTAATTAACTTCCCGTAGAGTAAGTTATAACCAGCCAGTAATCGCTAAAAAATCGAAAATGAACATTTTTATTTATCTTTACGTTTCAAAGGTTTCTGATCATTTTGGCATACATTAAAAAAATGGTAGTATTTAAAAAATCAAAATATAAAAAAATCAGATTTTTTAAAAAAATTGAAAATTATTAATTTCATGTTTTTTTTTCAAAATTTCCAAAAAATATTAAGTTTTCAAAAAATTTTAACCGTTCAAAAAATTTTAAGTTTTCAAAAAATGTCAAGTTTTCAAAAAACGTCAAGTTTTAAAAATCAGGTTTTTACAAAATGTCGAGTTTTTACAAAATGTCGAGTTTTTACAAAATGTCAAGTTTTCATAAAAAAATGTCAAGTTTTCCAAAAATGTCAAGTTTTCCAAAAATGTCAAGTTTTCCAAAAATGTCAAGTTTTCAAAAAATGTCAAGTTTTCAAAAATGTCAAGTTTTCAAAAAATGTCAAGTTTTCAAAAAATGTCAAGTTTTCAAAAAATGTCAAGTTTTCAAAAAATGTCAAGTTTTCAAAAAATGTCAAGTTTTCAAAAAATGTCAAGTTTTCAAAAAATGTCAAGTTTTCAAAAAATGTCGAGTTTTCAAAAAATGTTGAGTTTTCAAAAAATGACGAGTTTTCCAAAAATGTCAAGTTTTCCAAAAATGTCAAGTTTTAAAAATCAGGTTTTTACAAAATGTCGAGTTTTTACAAAATGTCGAGTTTTTACAAAATGTTAAGTTTTCCAAAAATGTCAAGTTTTCCAAAAATGTCAAGTTTTCCAAAAATGTCAAGTTTTCCAAAAATGTCAAGTTTTCCAAAAATGTCAAGTTTTCCAAAAATGTCAAGTTTTCCAAAAATGTCAAGTTTTCCAAAAATGTCAAGTTTTCAAAAAACGTCAAGTTTAAAAAATCAGGTTTTTACAAAATGTCGAGTTTTTACAAAATGTCAAGTTTTCCAAAAATGTCAAGTTTTCGAAAAATGTCAAGTTTTCGAAAAATGTCAAGTTTTCGAAAAATGTCAAGTTTTCGAAAAATGTCAAGTTTTCGAAAAATGTCAAGTTTTCGAAAAATGTCAAGTTTTCGAAAAATGTCAAGTTTTCCAAAAATGTCAAGTTTTCCAAAAATGTCAAGTTTTCCAAAAATGTCAAGTTTTCCAAAAATGTCAAGTTTTCCAAAAATGCCAAGTTTTCCAAAAATGCCAAGTTTTCCAAAAATGCCAAGTTTTCCAAAAATGCCAAGTTTTCCAAAAATGCCAAGTTTTCCAAAAATGCCAAGTTTTCCAAAAATGCCAAGTTTTCCAAAAATGCCAAGTTTTCCAAAAATGCCAAGTTTTCCAAAAATGCCAAGTTTTCCAAAAATGTCAAGTTTTCCAAAAATGTCAAGTTTTCCAAAAATGTCAAGTTTTCCAAAAATGTCAAGTTTTCCAAAAATGTCAAGTTTTCCAAAAATGTCAAGTTTTAAAAAAACGTCGAGTTTTAAAAAAACGTCGAGTTTTCAAAAAATGTCGAGTTTTCAAAAAATGTCGAGTTTTCAAAAAATGTCGAGTTTTCAAAAAATGTCGAGTTTTCAAAAAATGTCGAGTTTTCAAAAAATGTCGAGTTTTCAAAAAATGTCGAGTTTTCAAAAAATGTCGAGTTTTCAAAAAATGTCGAGTTTTCAAAAAATGTCAATATTTCAAAAAATGTCAATATTTCAAAAAATGTCAATATTTCAAAAAATGTCAATATTTCAAAAAATGTCAATATTTCAAAAAATGTCAATATTTCAAAAAATGTCAATATTTCAAAAAATGTCAATATTTCAAAAAATGTCAATATTTCAAAAAATGTCAATATATCAAAAAATGGCAATATATCAAAAAATGTCAATATATCAAAAAATGTCAATATATCAAAAAATGTTAAGTTTTCCAAAAATTTTAAGCTTTCAAAAACTATTAGGCACTCAAAAATTTTTACGTTTTCAAACAATTTTACGTTTTCAAAAAATTTGTAAGTTTTTCAAAAAATTTAAGTTTTGGCACGATGCCATGCACCAAGTTTTTGTATATTTCATTTTTAAGTTAGTTTATCAATAGCTTTTTTATTTATACATTTAATTTTTAATTAAGGTTCTTGAGTGATTATCGTGACTTGATGGCATGGATAAACTCTATGATGGGTCTCGTCAGTTCTGAAGAATTAGCCAACGATGTCACTGGAGCCGAAGCACTTTTAGAAAGACACCAAGTAAGATAAAAACATATTTCTACTAAATTCATTACTACACTTGTACATACATACATTCAAAATGTCGAAACTGACTTTAGTTTTACATTGGCTATACTTTATGAATTATGATTAATTTAGACTATTATCATTTTCAATTTCGATCGTATTTCTAGAATCACCGATTGGAAATTGACGCACGCTACGGGATACCTCAGGTTTTCAAATTTTTTGACTATTAAGTTTTTATACTTTTTGTACCTTTATTTAATTTATAACTGACCCTAAAAAAATATGTGTTGTGGTTTGGTATGATTAATTTGGCTTTTTCGCATGACGAATCAAAATTTTATCGCTCATTGTAATAAAATTTTGATATATTGTGAAAAAGCTTTAAGTAAAATGTGTTGTGTTGTGGTACCTTGATAAAAAATAGTTGATTAATAAAAAAAACAAATTTATGAGTCGTCATTCTATATGAGATTAACATAATATAAAAGCACAGGTATATATAATAATATTTTTAGAACATTTTGCACTGTGATTTTGTCTGGATGTGTTTGGAATTAATCCAAAAATATAAACTTATTAATCAATCAAAAAGTAATGGGGTAAATATGGATATTTGCATAAATGATAAATGACAAAATAAATTTTTTTGTAATATTTTTTTTTTGTGAGCACTTGAGAAAATTTAGAAACAAAACCATATCAACAAAATTTTATAATCGTTTGTTATATTTTTTAAGAGAACCAATTTGAGTAAATTTGACTATCAATTATTTGTTTTATGCAAAAATCCAGATTTTTGTGACTTCAACAACGTTTCCCTTTTTTACGAACATAGTTTAATTTTGCTGGGATATTTAATATTATTTGATTTTATTTTTCTGAACTAAAAGCCTCTCTTATCCAAAACTTTATTTTTTTTAGAATTATTTCCACGTTAGGGAATAAAAAATTGACTTGTATGGGATATCAACTTTTTCAACAACTTAAAATATTTTTTTATACATTCTTCTATTTTGTAATAATTTGGAAATTTAAATATTTAGTTTTCTCACCTTTAAAGTTTTGGAATTAAAAATTTTAAAATAGACACTTGCTAAATATTTTAATTTATGATACATTGAGCTATAAATAGGTATGATATCATTAGCATTGAAAGATTCTCAAATTTGAGATTATAAACTCTTTTAATTTGCTCGACAGTAGAGTTTCTTTTTAGTTTGCTCGTCAGTAGATTTTCTTTTTAGTTGGCTCGACAGTAGCGTTCTTTCTTAGAACTTCTCAATTTTTAGTTAGCTCAATTGTAAAATTTCTTTTTAGTTTGCTCCTCAGTAGAGTTTGCTCGACAGTTGAGGTCCTCTTTAGTTTGCTCGTCAGTAGAGTTCATTTTTTTAGTTTGCTCCTCAGTAGACCTTTTTTTTTATTTGCTCCTCAGTATAGTTTCTTTTTAATTTGTTTCTCAGTAGAATTTTTTTTAGTTTGTTTCTCAGTGGAGTTTCTTCTTAGTTTGCTCGTCAGTAGCGTTCCTTTTTAGTTTGCTCCTCAGTAGAGTTTCTTTTTGATCTGCTCGTCAGTAGAGTTTCTTTTTAATTTGTTCCTCAGTAGAGTTTCTTTTTAGTTTGTTCCTCAATAGTTTCTTTTTAGTTTGTTTCTCAGTAGAGTTCCTTTTTAGTTTGCTCGTCAGTTGAGTTAATTTTTTTAGTTTGCTCATTACTAGAAATTCTCTTTAGTTTGCTCGTCAGTAGAGTTCATTTCCAGTTTGCTTGTCAATAGTTTCTTTTCTAATTTGCTCGTCAGTAGAGTCCCTTTTTAGTTCGTTTCTCAGTAGAGTTTCTTTTTAAATTGCTCGTCAGAAGAGTTTTATTCCTTATGTTTCCTTAGTATTAGTTTTTTACGCGCTTTCATATTTCGACTCTGTTCAAAATTTGCAAAAAATCAAAATCAAAAAAATAGAAAAAAAATCTAATTTTTTAAAATCAATTTTTTTCAAAACATTCAACACTGAATTTTTTTTCAAAATTTTAAAAAAATAGGATTTTTGAGAAATTTTTAAATTTTTGAAAAACATTCAAAGAAATCAATTTTTTTCAAAAATTTCAAAATTTCTCAAAAATCCGATTTTTTTCAAAATTTTGAAAAAAAATCAGTTTTTTTCAAATTAGTTTTCGGTACGGAAAGTTTCAGCAATTTGCCTCAAGGCACGATGCCATGCACCACTAGTTTCATTTTATTCCAGATTGCTCGTCAGTACAGTTCAATTTTCCCTGATTTTTCCTTAGTAGAGGTCATTTTTATCCTATTTTATTTTGTATGTCAATAGAGTTTTTTTTCTTGTTTTATTCCAAACTGCTCGTCAGTACAGTTCCATTTTCCCTGATTTTTTCTCTGTAGGGGTCACTTTTATCTTATTTTATTTTGCATTTCAATTTTTTTTCTTATTTTATTCCAAACTGCTCGTCAGTACAGTTCCATTTTTCCTAATTTTTCCTCAGTAGAGGTAATTTTTATCTTATCAGTCAGTAGAGTTTTACTTCTTATTTTATTTCATTTGCGATCATTTTTATCTTATTTCATTTGCGTGTCAGTAGAGTTAAATATTCAGTGAGTATTTATAATAAAACATTTTTAATTTCAATACTTTGGAGATAAAACGTGAATTCTTTAAATATTTGAAATAAGTAAAAAGTATATAAATGTATAAAAATATTTTTAACAATTTCTGAAGAAGGACATTGTATATCTCCGAAATGTAGAAATAATTATAAATTGTTAAAAAAATATTTTGGAAAAGAGAAGGCTTCTAGATCGATAAAATATAATTATATATATATATATATATATATATTTATATATATATATATATATATCCATTATAACAGTAGCATGCCTGGCCAATTGTGATATTTTACGTTGCGCCCATCGATGTTGTCCTAATTCTAAATTTTGAGAATTAACAAAACCAAAATGCCACAAAATTTGCTCTCACTAAACTTCTATATTTATTAAACAGGAACACCGTACAGAAATTGATGCTCGTGCAGGAACATTCCAAGCCTTCGAATTGTTCGGAGGCCAATTGCTCCAGAGCAACCATTATGCCAGTGCTGAAATCCAGGAGAAAATTGAAGCCATGGCCGAAGCCAGGGAGGAACTAGAAAAGTCAGTAAATATAATATGATAATATTAGAGTAATACCCCGCTTAACGCTGTGGATACGTTCCATCAAAGTAGAGCGTAATGCGAAACAGCGCTACACTAGGCTATGTAAAAATAAAAACAATTATTAACTTCCTGTAGGGCAAGTTATAGTAATGGGCCGAAAATCGAAAATGAAAATTTTTGCATATCTTTACGTTTCAGAGGTTTCTGAACATTTTACTGGCATTCCTCAAAAAAAAATAGGTGTGTGTATATGTGTGGAGACAATTTTTGGTCGACAATTTCGGGCGTATGGATGAACCGATTTGAAAAAATTCAAAAGGCAATCGATTCCAATTGATACAGAGATGTGCTGATTAGTTTTTGTCAAAGGCAAGTCCAGCCATTTCGCAGATACAGAGCTAAATATACAAAAAATTGTAGTTGTTGAGGGAACTAAGCATCCGATTTGAATGATTCAAAAAACTTTCTGCTTGTGTTTATTTGAAGTGTATTTCAATTTTTTTCTAATTTTTTTTTGTTTGTATTTCGAAAATAATTCAGATTTTAAAATTATTTCTGGCTAAAGTTCTCAACTCACTTATATACTTTAAATAAATAATTCTATTAAAGTTTATATAATTCTTATAAATTATTTGAAAACATTAAATATTCCTCGACCATTATCGACTCGTTACGATACGGGAAGTTCCAGCAATTTGCCTTAAAGTACGATGCCATACACCACTAATTTTTTAAAGCTCAAATTAATACCACATTATTATTTTTTGCATAAATAAAAACAAAATATAAATAACAAAACGAATATTCTTGAAAAAAAAAGAAATAAAATTATCATTAATTCTTTATTTCTTTGACATTTTCACATTTACCCCTTCAAAACCTGGGTCGAAATAAAAGAGCGCTAAACGAAACAGCGTTAAGCGATATCAATGTATTTTCACTTTTCAAAACAGCGTTAAGCGGGGTATTAATGTATATTTACTCCTTCAAAACCTAGGTTGAAATAGAAGAGCGCTAAATGAAACAGCGTTAAGTGGGGTAACACTCTATATTTACACCTTCAGAACTCGGGTTTAAATAAAAGGAACTCTAAACCGAAACAGCGTTAAGCGGGGTATTACTGTAAATTTACCCCTTCAAAGTCTGGGTTGATATAAAAGGGCGCTGAACGAAACAGCGTTAAGCGGGGTAATAATGTATATTTACTTTTTAAAACTTGGGTTGAAATAGAAGAGCGCTGAACGAAACAGCGTTAAGCGGGGTATAAATGTATACTCACTTTTCAAAAACTGGGTTGAAATAGAAGAGCGCTGAACAAAACAGCGTTAAGCGGGGTATTAATGTATATTTACTCCTTCAAAACCTGGGTTGAAATAAAAGAGTGCTGAACGAAACAGCATTAAGCAGGGTATTAATGTATATTCTCTTTTCAAAACTTGGTTTGTAATAGAAGAGTGCTGAACGAAACAGCATTAAGCGGGGTATTACTGTATATTCACTTTTAAAACTTGGGTTGAAATAAA